ATAAAGTGTTAGCCTGTGTTTTGCCTTAGGCTCTGTTTTCTAGGGATCCCAAGCTAAAACATAAATTTATGCTCTCTTATTTATAAAATGACAATGTTGCCACCCATATCTGAAAAGTCCAAGAAAAAATAAAAACAAAATCCCTCTTTAGTACATTACTCCTTACTGATGATAGCTAATAAATATTTTGAAAGAACAAGCCAGCCATAATATGTATGGATATAAGAAACAGTGCATCAAGATGGCACTAAATGTGCCTTCATGGTCTCCTTGTATCTGCCCTAACCACCAGCTGCTTTTCTTATCTTGCTTTTAGATAAAAGGGGCTGTGTTAACACTCATTTGAGCAGAAGGACTGTATCTGTCATACTGTGATGGTGTCTGTAGGATGGAAAGTGTCAGTCATCCTGAATTCAAGTCCTAGCTCTGCTTATAGCTGTTTGACCTAAGAAAGTTATAATATCTCTAGGTAGATATTTCCTCACCTGTAAAATAGAAAGAAAACTCTCTGCCTCACCTTTCCCATGGGCTGTTGCCACATGGTGAAAGCACTTTGAAGCACCATTCTGATGTGCTTTAACCTTAAGAGGAGGGAAGGAAATAACTTTCTAATTTAGGCTTCCAAAATTTCCCTCACTAAGCAACTGCCTTCAGCTCACTAAGACTCACTAAGACTTCCCTCACTAAGACTGATGAAATGCTTCAGTAGGAGAATATAAAGGGGTAAATCCCTTAAATCTTCTTCAATATCTTCAAGATAATAATTAAGGTTAAAAGCTAAAGAATTGAGACCTCACCAAGATGGAATAAAAGAGACTGGAATTTCCCTCCCACGTGAAACAAACAGACAAAAGGAAAAGAAAAAAAATGTATATTAAAAAAAAAAAAAACAGTTTTCAAGATACCTTACATCAAGCAATGAGGTGATTCCTTGAGAGACAGGAAACACACGTGGTGAGTCCGAGGATTGTTTTTACTGCTGGAGACTTCCCAGAGCCCGGGGAGGAAGAAGGAAGCCTTGTGGCGACTGCGGGACCCCATGGGTTGGACAGACAGAGCTGTGAGTCTAAGAGACCAAGGTGACCAGAGGTCAGAGGACAGAGTACCAGAGACATGAGCAACACGGAGAGAGCACTCCGGAGATCTGCCGAGGGTTCTCCTCATCCAGCTAGGTGCTAAGCAGTGCATGCATCTGAGCGAACTACCTGAAGCTGAGAGAAAACCACCCAGAAGGATTAACTGGTGCTACACCAGGCTTGGAATAGTGCCTTTTTCTACCAACCAGACTGGAAAAGCTCTTAATTCACAAGGTACTTGGTAGAGAACTTAGAAGAGTCTTGCCTCCACAGTGGGGAATAATTGGTCGTACACTAAACACTGATCTGGGCCAAACCAACAGATCTTTTTTTTTTTTTCAAGTTTTTATTTAAATTCCAGTTAGTTAACATACAGTGCAACACCAGTGTTAGGTGTAGAATTTAGTGATTCCTCACTCACATACATCACCTGGTGCTCTTCCCAACAAGTTCCCTCCTTAACACAAGTGCTCTCATGCATCCCCCCACCCCCGCCCCTCCAGTAACCATCAGTTTGTTCTCTATAATTAAGAGTCTGTTTCTTGGTTTGCCTTTCTTTTTTTCCCCCTAGGTTCATTTATTTTGTTTCTTAAATTCCACAGATGAGTGAAATCATATGGTATATGTCTTTCTCTGACTTTTTTCACTTAGCAAAATACACTCTAGCTCCAGACACATTGTTGCAAATGGCAAGACTTCATTCTTTTTTATGGCTGAGTAATACTCCATTATATATGTGTGTGTGTGTGTGTGAGAGAGAGAGAGAGATGTATATATATCTCACATCTTTTTTAAAGATTTTATTTATATATTTGAGAGAGAGAGCACAAGCAGGGGGAGGAGCAAAGGGAGAGAGAAGCAGACTCCCCGCTAAGCAGGGAGCCTGACGTGCGGCTCAGTCCCAGGACTCTGGGACCATGACCTGAACCGAAGGCAGACTCTTAACTGACTGAGCCACCCAGGCACCCCAATACCACATCTTCTTTATCAATTTCTTAGTCAATAGACATTTGGGATCTTTTTATAATTTAACTATTGTTGATAATGCTCCTATAAACATTGGAGTACATGTACCTCTTCAAATCAGTATTCTTGTATCCTTTGGGTGAATACCTAGTAGTGCAATTGCTGGATCACAGGGTATAGCTCTATTTTTAACTTTTTGAGGAACCTCCATACTGTTCTCCAGAGTGGCTGTACCAGTTTGCATTCCCACCAACAGTGTAGGAGGGTTCCACTTTCTCTACATCCTCACCAATACCTGTTAAAAGTTTCCTGTGTTGTTAATTTTAGCCATTCTGACTGGTTCGAGGTAATATCTCATTGTAGTTTTGATTTCTATTTCCCTGAGGATGAGTGATGATGAGCATCTTTTAGTGTGTCTGTTAGCCATCCGGATGGCTTTGGATAGTCTTTGGAAAAATGTCTATTCATGTCTTCTGCTTCTGGATTATTTTTTGGGTATTGAGTTCGGTAAGCTTTTTATATATTTTGGATACTAATCCTTTATCAGATATGTCATTTGCAAATTTCTTCTTCCATTCTGTAGGTTGCCTTTTAGTTTTGTTGATTGCTTCCCTTACTGTGCAGAAGCTTTTTATTTTGATGAAGTCCTGATAGTTCATTTTTGCTTTTGTTTTCCTTGCCTCAGGAGACTTATCTGGAAAGAAGTTACTACAGTTGATGTCCAAGTGGTTACTGCCTGTGTTCCTCTAGGATTTTAATGGTTTCCTGTCTCACATTGAGGTTTTTCATTCATTTTGAATTTATTTTTGTGTGTGGTATAAGAAAGTGGTCCAGTTTCATTCTTCTGCATGTCACTGTCCAGTTTCCCACCACCATTTGTTGAAGAGACTGTCTTTGTTCCATTAGATATTCTTTCTTACTTTGTTGGAGATTAATTGCCCATATAGTTGTGGGTTCATTTCTGGGTTTCCTATTCTGTTCCATTGATCTATGTGTCTGTTTTTCTGCCAGTACCATACTGTCTTGATCACTACAGCTTTGTAATATAACTTGAAGTCCAGAATTGTGATGCCTCCAGGTTTGCTTTGCTTTTTCAGGATTGCTTTGGCTATTTGGGATCTTTTGTCCTTCCATACAAATTTTAGGCTTGTTCTAGCTATGAAAAATGCTGATGTTTTGATAGGGATTGCATTAAATGTGTAGATTGCTTTGGGTAATATAGACATTTTAACAATATTTGTTCTTCCAATCCACGAGCATGGAATATTTTTCCATTTCCTTCTGTCATCTTTAATTTCTTTCATCAGTGCATTATAATTTTCAGAGTAGAGATCTTTTACCTCTTTGGTTAGGTTTATTCCTAGGTATCTTATGGCTTTTGATGCAATTATAAATGGGATCGATTCCTTGATTTCTCTTTCTGCTGCTTCATTATTGGTGTATAGAAATGCAACAGATTTCTGTACGTTGATTTTGTATCCTGCGACTTTACTGAATTTGTTTATCAGTTCTAGTAATTTTTTGGTCAGCCCAACAAGGTTTAAAATCAAAATCTGAAATAAATAAATAAATAAATAAATAATAAAATCAAATCAAAATCTGAAAGGATCAAGTTGTTTCCAAGTAACTAAATTGCATTCCAGAACAAAGCTCAAGAATATTTATAGGAATACAAAAATAACTAACACCCAACACAGTCAAAATGATGATGCCTGGCATCCAGTAAAAACTACCAAACGTGCAAAGAAACACCAGATGTTAGAATTTGCAAAGGATGTTAAAAGTTATAATTGTATTTCAGATATTCAAAACCTTAAATAGAGACATAGATTTTTTTAAAGATTCAAATCAAATGTCTAGAGATGAAAACTATAATGCCTGAACTGAAAGATATCCAGGCTGAGATTAACAGTGTATCCAAACAGTAGAATACTACTCAGCAATGAAAATGGATGAATGATGGCTACAACATTGATGAATCTCAGAATAACTGAGCTGAGTGAAAGAATCCAGACAAAAAAGATTGCATGCTGTATAAATCAGCATTTTTTATATGAAATTCTAGAGTATGCAAAATAATCTATAGTTAGAGAAATGTAGGATCAGTGAATACCAGGTACGGGGGCAGGAGGACAGAATTCATCCCCAAGGGGCACAAGGACACTTTTGAGGGTGATAGTTATGTTCACTATTTTGATTTTCATGATGGTTTCACAGGTATACAGACATAGATGTCAAAACTTACCATTTGTACACTTTAAATATATACAGTTTATTATATGTTGATTATAATTCAGCAAAGCTTTAGTTTTTAAAAACTAAAGAGATAGGCATGTATTTTTTTAAAAAAAAACACTGCACAACTTGGGACATAGAGGATTTATAAATATAACCACATTTTTTAATATTTAAATTTTTGTAAATTTTAAAGAATGGTAAAATGTTTAAATCTGTAATTTTTTTACATCTAAGTCTATAGTGTCTACCGACTACCTCTGTTGTATAGTATCTATAGTATCTAGTACAGTAACTAAAATTTGGTTTGGGAGCTCTTTCTTTTTTTAACAGTACATTGGAAAATTTCCCCCCCTATTGTTCAGAACTACGTATTTTCATGGTTCTTTTTAATTAAAAACAAAAACCCTAAGAGCCAGAAGGCACAAAGTAAATTTCAGTTCTCATTTTTTCCAAAGTGTACTTTACAAATTAAGAAAATTCTACACATTTTTCTTAACCATAAGTGAGTGACTGTACACTTACTCCCCAATATCCTTCTCTGTTTGATACGTGGTCTAGGCCAAAAAACTCTCTGAGGGTCTGCTTAAGACTCAAGGGCTTTCATTCCTGTTGACCTGCTTCCTTAGAGATACAACTGTGTGATGCATGCTCATTATAGCTGGGAGTGAACTAATTTATGTCTTCTCTTGTTCCCAACTCGTCTGTCCTGACTTTGCCCAGTTTGACGCTGACCGAGACGAGGATGAGGTGTTCTATGACATCAGTGAGGCAGTTGACAGCAAGTTATTTCCAAACAAAGAAGCTGCAGCAGGTAAGTGTCTGTGTCCTTCGGCCCCCAGTCCCGCCTGACCACCTGCCAAGTGTCTGGAGTCTTATAGTAATGTCAGAGCACAACAATCTGCTGTAAGGTTTTAAGGATGACGCTGTACGCAGAGCTTTACACTTCCTGGGACTCTCCGTCTGGCCCTTATAGGTAATGCTTTTCCTCCAGTCATTGTCCTTGTAAATTAGCAGGCAGTCCCAATGTAACATAGGACCTATGTGACTATAATTGAAAAAAACGAATCTAGCCCATTCGTTGTGCAACAATTAAAAGTTACAGTTCCTCCAGGACTCCTTAACTCATACTTGTCTCTGCCTCGCCCCCTTGGGAAAAGCCTCCCCTTCTGTCAGATAGCTACTCTTATCCCAACCCACAGCTCCCATTTTGGCTCTGCGCCTTCCCTTCCTAAGCACTCACCCCTAGAAGTTTGACGTTGTGATAGTGCGGGGCTATCCCACACCCTTCTGTAGGCAGTACTCACAGTGCTGTCCTTGACCCTTTCCTCACTCTCTTTGACTCTCTGACTCTGGTCAACTCATTGTCCCTCATGGTCTCAACTATCAGTTCCATGCAGATGACTCTCAAATCTTCGTCCCAGTCCTGACCTTCCTTCTCAGTAATGGCCTCAGTGGGTAAAGACCAAAAAAGTTCTGAGCTATAAAGAAAAAGCCTAAACACTTAAAATGTTTAACCATATTTGATTTGAAGGACCCTAAGAAAGAATGCACCCTAAGAGAGGCAGAATGAAAAGAAAGGCAAGGATGTAGTCTTTCTGGGCAGCCCCACGGAGCACAGATAACAGTGTAAACTCACCTGCCTGGCTTTCCAGTGATAGAGTCAGAGGGCCTACTGCGGGGAAAGATGGAATACTGAGAAGCATGTACGATCATATAAACCTGGGTGCCGCTGCTCTGGACAAATGCTATGACACATGTTCTTCGTAAGTCAGTCTTTCATTTAGAACGTTTACTTAGACCTCTAATAACAAATGTCTAACTGCTAGGTGTCCTCAGTTTGCTAAGACAGTGGAGTGGAGGAGCTGATTCAAGCTGCCCCTTGTTTTTTTTTTTTTAATTTATTTTTTAAATTTTAATTCCAGTATAGTTAACATACAGTGTGATATTAGTATCAGTGTACAATAGAGGGATTCAGTAATTCTGTACATTACTCGGAACTCATCATGATAAGTGTGCTCTTAATCCCCTTCACCTCTTTCACCCATCCCCCCACCCACCTCCCCTCTGGGAACCGTCAGTTTGTTCTCTATGCTTAGGAGTCTGTTTCTTGGTTTGTCTCTTTTTCTCCTTTGTTCATTTGTTTTGTTTCTTAAATTCCACATGTGAGTGAAATTGTGTGGCATTTGTCTTTCTCTAACTGACTTATTTCACTTAGCATTATACTCTCTAGATCCATCCATGTTGCTGCAAAGGGCAAGATTTCATTCTTTTTTTATGGCTGAGTAATACTGCATTGTACATATATACCACATCTTTATCCATTCATCTGTCGATGGACACCTGGGCTGCTTCCCTAACTTGGCTATTATACATAATGCAGCAATAAACATAGGGGTGCGTATATCTTTTCAAATTAGTGGTTCTGTATTCTTGGAGTAAATACCCAGTAGTGGATCATATGGTAGCTCTATTTTTAATTTTTTGAGGACCCTCCATGCTGTTTTCCACAGTGGCTGCAGCAGTTTGCATTCCCACCAACAGTGCACGAGGGCTCCTTTTTCTCCACGTCTTCTAAGCTGCCGTCTTTAGAACACTTGACACTGTACTTTGTGGCTCTCTAGTGGCCCTTCTCCAAGGTGGCCTCATCCTGCGGTGGTGTGGCTGTGTTAGCTTCTGTGCTAGTTGGTAAACTGCCTGAGGGCAGGTGCTGTGTGCTCAGCGTGCGTAGCCCCTCCCCGTAGCTGAGGCTTCCGCGGGCCTCCTCTTTCCTCTCTATACCTCCAGACTTCTGAACAGAGGAGTCTGCTCACAGCCTCAGCTCCCACAAGCTCCCCTCCACGCCTCAGAACCCTGAAAGCTGAGTCCTGTTCCAGCCTTAAAATAAGCCTGTTCTATCTATAACAGCCCTCAGTTGATGGAGTGAGCAAGGGAGGGACTGGGGTAAACTGGACACACACCATGCCTCCCCTACAGGAGGCAGCCACTTCGAAGTTCCATGCTATTGCTGCCATTAAGGAATGGGCCAGTCGTTGCTGGATCTTTCTCTCTTTCAAGAGAAAACAGAAGCCTGCATCTGTAGGTGAAACCTCCAGGCTTGTAAAGGTTGCTGACTCACCCAATTAAACGAGCCATGTCCGTGGCCACTGCTCTGTGAATTGTCAGCCCCCAGGTTCTGTCCCTCTACTGTTCCCTTCTCTCTGGACCCTCTCTTTGCAGAATCTCACCCACCCCACAGCTCCCATATCACCTCCATGCGAATGGCTTTCCATTCTTCTTTTAAAATTTTTAAATAAAAATTGTATATATTTAGGATGTGCATCATGATGATCTGGCAGGCATATACACAATGGAAGGACTACAATTAAGCTAATTAATATATCTTCTCATCACCTAGTCACCATTTTTCTCTGTGTAAGGAGAGCACTCGAAATATATTCTCTTCGCAAATTTCTAGCACTTAATACAGTGTTACTAACTACAGTCATCAAGCTGTACATTACATCCCTAGATTTACTCATCCTACGTGTACCCTTAGGCCAACATCTCCCATATCCCCCACCTGCCTGGGCCATGGTAACCATTGCCCGGCTCTCTGCTTCATGTATTTGTTTGTAGATTCCACCCTCTCAGTGAGATCAGGCAGTTTTTCTCTATTAAGGGAGCCAGGCAAAAATGTCCCTATCCTCACGGCCCACGCCAGTCGTCATTCCTCAAGGATACCTTGGGAGTGCAGTCCCTGTTCTTTATCCTCACTGCACTCGTCAGGGCTTTGTCGTTCTTTCCAGGCCTTTTACCTCATCCCTGGTCTCTTACCTCATCCCTAGCCTCTCCCATCTGTTCTGAATCCTGTTGCTGCCATAGGGCTCCTCATCCAATGCAGCTCTGACTACCCTTCCTCCTCAATAAAACGAAACAAAGCAAAACCTTCAATGACTTCCCTGCAGGCTGAGCACCAGTGTCCTTAGCATGACAGAAATACCCTTAGCTTTGCTGCAGCGGTCCTCCTCCTGCCCCAGCATCTCCTCCCTCCACCCCCGACACCCCACCGGCTTCCTCCGGCTCCTTGGATGTCTCAAGCACCTTCCTGCCTCTGGCCATTTGCACAAGTTACTTGGTATCTCTGCCCACGCCCCTCCTGTGTGCATCCTCTCTACTCTCTCACCCCCTGGGTCCTGCTTCACCCAGCCGGATCCTATTTTGTATCTCAGTTTAAATGTGATTTTCCTCAGGAGGCGTTCTCAGCCTCCATCCCAGACTACTCCTACTACTCCCTCCCCTGTCATGGAGTAACTGGAAAATCACTCCTGCCCGGCTCACCCGAACAGTTCCAGCACCAGATCCCTTGAGAAGCTCATCTTCTAGTCCCAAATACCGTCCAGGTATTTTTCCAAAGAAATGCAATGCTCTTCAAAGGAATTCTAATGCAAACTGTTACTAACACTTTCCATGCCTGTTGGAATAAGAGCTGGGCTCTCCGTGCCTGACGACTGAGGCACTTAGGAGGAATTTCATGTTTGCAAAGTGAATGGAAAAGATCAAGATTTGCAAAAGCAAAATGTAAACGTCCTTTTATTCATTTTTCAGTCATTCAGCGTGTATGTATCAAATGCATAGAATTTCTAAGTATTGTTCTTAAATTTAGAGATGAAATACAACGCCACCTAAAGCTGTTTACAGTTGAGCAGAAGAGACAGCACAAGGGAAAGCCTGCCTTCCTCCGAGGATGCAGATGATGTGTTAGAGGAGCTTTATCTACCGATGCCCTTCACTGCCCAAGAAGCCCTGCCTTGCTGGAGTGTCCCTCTGTTTGGGACTCCAAGTGAGAGGACCTTCCTAAAACTTCAGATTAAAGATCTACAAGGAGGAGAAAAGTCTGTAACATTGTCCCAGAAAGCAATATGGTTAGCCTTCCAGTACCTCTTAAGCCAATTTGTGTCATCTTCCCTCTTAAATTTAGGGAGACAACCTGAAAAGAATCTTTCTGAAGACCATTCTACATCTGAAACGGGTGACGCTGAGTGTTCCCTGGGGGATTCTATTTCAGCTCTGTATCTATAGAAAGAATATTTTTAAATCAGAAAGAAATTGAGAAATTCAAAATAGGGAGAAGTGAAAGCCATACTATCACTTTTACAAAATGCCCTAATTTTGCTGTCCCTTTTGAGTAACGAGATCATTGCAGGTGTTTTATGCATTAAATTGTTCAATGAAAGAAGGCAAAAATGTGTACATATATCTATATCTACCTCCTTCTTCTATATGTCAAACTTAGACTATTATTAAAGGTCCCATTTTCAGCAAACCAAGCAACCAATGCTGAAAGAACACGAAAGCTATTCAGTCACTATCTGAGCCGATAATGATATTCATTGTCTATTGCTTCCTATGATTTATTAGTCCTGTTGCCAAGAGCAACAACGTGTCAAGAAATTCCATCCCTTAATGATACAATAAAATTTCTGTTAAAAGCATTTTATTAGGAAAGCCAACTCTTCTTTGTAAGCATAAGTTTTTTTTAAAGAGGTTTTTTATTCCCCCTTCAACAAAGATCTACCACCGCTGGAGATCGTTTTCTAACAGTCTTGTTCCAGTTTAAATATTAACTGTAATATCTGTTAACCAGGTTGTTTAAGAGCTCTTGAAAATTTGTACTTTTTTAAAACAACTGAAAGAACAGTTTCTAATTAAATAAAATAAGTAGGACACAGGAACTAAAAGGGGCTATATGTTTAATAAGCCTTTGTGTTCAGATCACATTGCTCATTCCACATGAATCACTCCAAATATAGCTGAGATGAGGGTATCGTTTGAATCCAAGTACCTATCACCACTTCTACAAGTCAGTGGTGGGTAATATCCATATTATGGAAACAATGAAAGCTAAAGAAAATTGGCATTACCTTTAATGATGCTGTCAATAGCAACCACCCAGAAAGGAGCATCGATTGTCCCAGACTGGAGTGGCACTTCTTGATTCCGCTTCTGGTTCTCCCATTTCCACAGCCACCTGGTGACATGTCTCATCACCTGCCATGCACTGTTACTCATTTTCTCAGAATGTGGAAGAGACGGCAGACTCCTCCAAGTCCCATCCCATAGGGTACTGTAATGAAGGATCATACTCATAAAGCTGTTTGGATCGCTCCTGCTTCGACTTAAGAGTAGGCGGGATATGTTGGGAGCTATGACTTCTGTCTTCGATCTCACTTACTTTCTGTAGGACCTAGCCCAAGTTATTTGACTTCTGCAAAGCTCATTTTCTTCTTTTCTAAAATAAGGGGGTGATATTCTATGAAATACTGGTTCTAAAACTTCCATGATCTTATAATGGAAAAATACACGTTTACTTCTGACATCTTGACTTCCCCACAGTACGTAAGTGCAAACTGATCCCAAAATGGGCTTCAAGACAATCAAATATTTTGGCCCTCAGATACACCTTATAAAATTTCTTATTTGAAAAATAGCAAAAGCACAAAGATAGAAAAATTGCATGTAGTGGCATTACTTGGTAAAATTATACATAAAATTTAAGTTTCCAAATGACCCCTCTGGTCTCACTTTGTTAAATAGCGTGTGGTGCATTGTCTTCCCCACTCTTTTCTGGCAACCACCTTATTAACAATGGACTTGGCAAGGTCTGCTCTCACGATATGATGGCATTACCCACAGTTGTGCTCTACACACCTATGGCAACTCCACATTTCATTACTTTTCCAAAATCCTTTGATGGGTCAAATATCTCCACTCTGAAAAATTTTATCGTCCTTTCAAAAGAAGTGTAAAGAAACACAAAAACAAGGTTGTAACTGCTTAGTACTTAGACAGTATGACAATGGACCAGTCCTTAGTTGATTTGTTGAACAGTAGGGGTAATCATGAGTAGAGAAAAAAAAAAACAAGAGAAGAGTTGAGAAAAGACTGTGTGAGGACATACCTTGAAACTCTCTTTGGAAGAAAGGATGAAAGCAGCCTCTCTGGCAGAGGTTTATGTCTGAAAAGCATGTGAGATGCTTGACGTTTTTATCGTTCATTAAACATTAGTCATTGTGTCTTCTGACCAAGAATTATTTGGCAAAGACAAGTCTACAGTGAAATGCGGAGTGGTTTGTTTCTTCACAAGGACATATAGCATTTTATGGGCAGCACCGAATTCTGTCTTTCTAGCTGGTTAGGTGATATGTATTTCCCGGGAGGAAAGAGTCATTAAACAAGGATGATAAATCAATTGTGCTCCAGGAGCCCCATTATGAAAATTACCAGTTTAAGTTTGAGCCTTGAGGATTAATGGGTAAGCAAATTAATGTAACCTGTAGTACCTACAGGGGGAAGCTCTCTATTAATACGTTAAGTTAACCACCCCATGTTTCTCATCATCAGGGACTAAAGTGACCCAAAGGCTGGAGGAAAAAATTGTCAGGTTTTCACGGAGTTAGCAAACTCTGCCCCACTGATTTCTGGAACGTCCTTGCTCTTCTCCCACTCCGCACTTTGCTCATAGTGTTCCCTCTATCTCATTTACTGCTACACACCCCTAAACCGCTTCCCCTCCTGGACCATCCTTACTCACTCTCAAAGTTTGGGCTCATAGATTCATTCCTTGTACTTAGTTCTTACCTCCATCATCACCTCCACTTCTAGTCAGAATTAGTAGCCCTTTATTTGGTTTCTGAACCTTGCTGTTGACAAATCAGAGTCCTCCACAGGACTGTCTTCTTCTTAAGGCTGGAAACAGTATCTAGAGTATCTGTGTTTTCTATCTGGGAGCCCAAAGATGGTGCCCAGCAAAGGAGAAGAGTCTAAAAATGTTTGTGAATTTAATGTAACCACAAGAACAATATGGAAACCTAGTGGGAGATAGTTTGCTTTACAAACATACATAGACAGTCTTTATCAGGTAATCTTTTCTTTTCTAATCTTAGGTTCGAGTGACCTTGATCCTTCAATGATGTTGGACACTGGAGAGACCATTGATACAGGCTCTGATTATGAAGATCAGGTAATTAAAATCTAAAATTACCTCTCTATTTAAATATTTCAATTTTAGCCTTTGTAAATGTTTTATGAAAATTAGAATTATAAATCATTTTTGAGGTGTTTACAGATAATAGCATATTCCATGATAAATCATGCTAGCCTACAGCTTTTATTCACTCACTTTGGCCCTTAGCCCCCCCCTTCCCCACAGTTCCAAAACAGCAACTAATTAAGAAAAGGTTTGTGGTTTAAGTTACACGAGAAGGAAATGAGGTTATGTGAGGTTCTCTTGTGCAAGAATTTGCCTGTGTCTCTCGATCCGTTTCTGACAATGAACTAACAGTATTTACTGAGTACTAGCTACAGGCTCAGGGTTCTGCTTTTCTGTTTCTAACCTTTGAGGACTAATGACCAATGACAACACAGCCAAGAAGTCAAGTCTATTTTCTATTTTAATGAAACCAGAGAAATTTATCTGGGTCATTTTCCTCTCAGCAGAAGAACTCTCCCTCCTGCTGTATTTTAATAATCCAAAATAGTTGGCAAATGATCCAACTCTCTAATTAAGCTTTTTGTTTTAAAAGAGGGTAATGTCTGAAACTTCCTTCTACTGCTCATCAGTGCTCCTCTTCAATGGCTGAAAGCCGAGAGAACATGAGGGTTTTTTCCCCACATCTTCAACTAATGTATGTCACAGATAAAGCAGATAGAGCAAACCAGTGTCCAGATATAATGGTTGGCTATGCATTTCATATTCCTATCCAGAAACTATTTTCAAAGGGCGCCTGGGTGGCTCAGTCGGTTAAGCATCGGTCTTTGGCTCATGTCATGATCCCAGGGTGCTGGGATCGAGTCCCACGTAGGGCTCTGCGCTCAGTGAGAGGAGTCTGCTTCTCCCTCTGCCTCTGTCCCTCCACCCCGCTGGTGCTCTCTCGCGTGCACGGACTCTTGCTGTCTCTCAAATAAATAAATAAAATCCTAAGAAAAACAGAAGCTATTTTCATGAACATTAAGTTCTTTCTTTTATATTAAAAAGCATGGAGAAAATATTGACAAGTGATATAATAGGTACTGTGTATTTATAATACTTTTAGCATTTATAAACATTTAATACATACCGAACATTGTGCCAAGTTCCTTAGATTCTTTTCTCACTAATTCCTTACAACATCTCTAGGAAGTAGGAATTATTATCTTTATTTTATAGATAAGAAAATAAAGATTCAAAGAGTAATTTTCCCACAGTTAAACAAAAATGTTTCACAGTGGGGAAGGGAACTTAGGGCACATTTCCTCACAAATGCACCATACTGCCTTCTAACTCAGCCTCCAATGACAGGCCATTCATTGATAGATTCTAGGAGCCCTTTCAGTTGCCAACTCCCAAGACCCTAGCAGGGGCAAATTCCAAACACCACTATTGAAGGGGAGTTCATGATCCAAAATTACAGGCTGCGTAAAGACATGAACAATTACCAGATATCCAGCTGATTAAAAAATGGAAGGTTTCACACCCCAAGAACTAGAGAGAACAGGAAAGTCTGAAAGAAATTTCAATATAGAAATACTTAAAATATTCAAGAAGATAAAAGGAAGATAAACCATGAAACAAGTACAGAAAAAAGTGAGAGGGAAGAGGAAAAAAGGAAAAGGGAAGAAATAGAAATTCTAGGCACAAAAAATATTGTCATTGAAATAAAAATTCCGTTAACAGTTTTGAATAGTAGACTAGACACAGCTGAAGAGGCTAAATGACAGAACTGAGGAAATTGCCTTAGAATAAACCAGAAAGCTAAACAGTTGCCAAATGTAAGAAACAACTCAGGAGTCCCTGAGGATAGATTGATTGGGCTGACATATTCAAAAAACAGTTCCAGGAGAAAATAGAGGGATGGGGCAGAGGCTCCCTTTTATTTATTCTTTGATTTATTTTATTAACAGATAATAGTTGAGAATTTTGCAGAGATGAGAAACAACACAAGTCCCCAGATTAAAGGAGCACATCCAGTTCTGAGCAGGATAAAAACAACAGAAACAAAACTCTTCCCTTATTCTTTTTTTCATTTAGTCATTTAACAAATACTAATTGAGCCCCTACTGTATGCCAGGTACTGTGTGGGTAGTTGAAATACGTAATTGTACAAAAGAGGCAAGAAGCTTACATTCTAGTAGAGAAGACAGATACTAAACAATCAACATGATAAATTAGTAAATCCTCTAGATGTCAGAAGTGGTAAGTCCTATGGGAAAAGGAAAAGTAGAATAAGGTAAGAGGGTTAGGAATGCTGGGATTGGGAACAAGTTATAGTATTAAATAGGATGGCTTCATTAAAGAGGAGCAATCTGGCAGAGACTCGGGCATAGAATGTAAAACATCAGAACACCGAAGACAAAAATAAAATATTCAAAGTCAAAAGGCATTACCTATAAAGGAACAGCAGTTTTGGTGACAGTAGATTAAATAACAAGAGCTTGCATTTATTGAGAACCTGTTATAAGCCAGACTCTGTGTTTTATGGTTTATGTGCATTACTGCTAACCCTTACAAAAACTCAAGAAGGTAGCTCCGTTTATCCCCACTTTACCGCAGAGGACATTGAAGCTCATGGAAGTTAAGACACTTCCCAAGATCACCCAGCTAGGCGAGCTGTGGAGTCAGGAGACAGACTTTGATCCGCCTGGCACCAAAATCTAGTTTCTACTTTTACCGTTCCCAGTAAAGCCGGTATCTGGGTCACTGGTGATCTAGTGCCAATTCCAGTTAACACTTTTTAGTTATCTTTCTTGACCTCTGCTGCATTTTATTCATCAAACTTTTACTCTGAAGAGTCATGTGGTAAATACCTCAGGCTCTATGAGCCAAATGGCTTCTGTTGGGATTGTTGAGCAAGGAAACCATAACAACACGGTAACAGAGGAGTACAGCGGAGTCCCAGTAAAGCTTTATGTATTGATACTGAAACTTGAATTCCATATAATTCTCATGTGATTTATCTCAACTATTTAGAAATGTAAAACCCCTTTTAAACTGGAAGGTTGTACCCAAGCAGGCAGAGCAGTGGATTTGACCTGCAAGCTGGTTTGCTGACCCCAGCTCTAAACCATCCTCCCAGTCTTGACATTCTCCTCCCCCTTAGACTCTAACATTTCTAAATTATTTATTCTGTTCTAAATACTTCACATTCGTTACCTTATTTTACCCTCAATTATAGGAGATAGATATTATTACAATATTATTGTTATATTTTATTAAAACACATTTTATTTAAAATATATTTTATTATTACTTATTCTATTATTATTATTATTATAGTATTATTCCAATAAGGAAACTGAGGTACAGAGAAATTAAGCAGTTTATTCAAAGTTACACAGCTGGCAAGAGGTAAAGACAGAATTCATACACAGCCATCTGATTTCGGAGCCAGGATCAACAAAGATAGGCTAGGCTCTGCTGTAGTAACAAATAAAACTCAAAATCGTATTGAATGGAGCACTGGGTGTTATATGCAAACAACGAATCATGGAAAACTACATTAAAAACTAATGATGTAATGTATGGTGATTAACGTAACATAATAAAATTTTTAAAAAAAAGATTAAAAAAAAAAAAAACCTCAAAATCTGAGTGCTTTCCTTCCAGAGGTTCTTTTACATGCAACCTCCAGAGGGATCATGGAAGGGAAGGCAAAGAGCCTGAGGAAGACGGACCTGCTCTTAATCGCACATTACCTCTTCCAACATTCGGTGGGCAGCCGCAGTCAGTGGCCCTCCGCACGTGCAGGGAGGCTGGGAAATGGAGCTTGCTTATGCATCCAGGAATGGAGGGTTGAGTTTGGTGAACACTGAGTCAGCCTCAGCCACGTATCTCTTGCCCTGCTCTGTGTTCACTCTCTCGGCGCTCCTCCTACTTGTTGGTCCACTGGTTCTTGGTGTCCTTGCTGAGCTGCTCTCTGCCAGTCCCTTCTTTAAATGTCAGTGTTCCCCAACATCTGTGGCCCCTTCAATCCTCACTGAACATGTTCCCCTTTAAAAAAAGCTCAACCACAGCCACGATCCACTTCGCTCAGAGCTCCCAGGTGAGCTCCTGGTGCATATGTCTGCCTGCTAAACAGCGCTGGTTGGATTTCCCATGTGCATCTCAAACTCAACACATCCAAAACCAAAATCACCATCTTCCCCCACAAAATCTGCTTGTCCTTCTGTTTTCCCTATTTCTGTTAAGGATACCTCCAGCCTACCAGCTGCCCAAGCCAGAGACTGGATGTCTTCATAGCCTGCTTCCTTTCTCTCCCGTCCTACATCAGTTTGATCAAGAAGCCAGTCAGTTCTCCTGTGCAGAAATCGCTCCTTCCCACTCTGGTGCCAGCACCACTGCCCTGGTTGGCACTCTCAGCCTTCCTCCCTGGGATCACAGGGACAGTCTCCTAACCAATCTCCCTGCCCCAGCCTCCTCACCCATCGTAATTGTCTTGTTGAAAAACAAAGCCAGTCATGGCATTCTGCTTCTTAAAACCCTTTTTGGGGGTGCCCGGGTGGCTCAGTTGGTTAAGTGTCTGCCTTCGGCTCAGGGTCCCGGGTCCTGCGATCGAGCCCCGCGTCGGGCTCCTTGCTCAGCGAGAAGCCTGCTTCTCCCTCTCCCTCTGCCTGCCGCTCCCCCTGCTTGTGCTCTCTCTCTCTCTGTCAAATAAATAAATAAATAAAATCTTAAAAAAAAACCCAACTTTTTGGCTCCTCATTGATGTCAGAATGAAACTGAGAGAACCTTCAAATCAAAATCTGACCCCCTACATCCCTCCCAAAGTCATCCCTTGCCAATCACCAAAACACACTCAATGCTCCAGCTACACCAAGCCATCTTCAGTTCCCCCAAGTGGCTTGTGATTTACACAGTCGCTTTCCTCTATATGGAAGCTTCCACAACCGTATCATGCCTACCCCAGATAATCCCACTCATGCGCCATCAGGACCAAGCTTCTTCTCAAGGAAGCCCTCATCTTGTTACATGTTCAGTTCACCTTC